TAACTTTCCCGAATATATATATATATTCTTTTTTGAGAATTTCATACTACATATTCTGATTGTATTTAGAGCCCGTCTCCTATCTGCATCCCCCCCTTATTACCCCCACCTACTCATATACTCTATTTTATATAGTGTGGGTCCATCTGATGGAACCTGGTCAACCTACCAGGAGTTTCAGCCTTGAATGACACAGACTCCTGTTCCCAGGAGCCATCAGCTGCCAATAGTTCTGATGGGGTTGGGATTTCTTATTTTCCCATGGCTATGCTGGGATTTTGTCTGGCTTGAACTAACATGGGTCTATGTGCATGTTGCCAGGTCATATGAATAGTTGCCCAGCTGCCTGGAAAACTCTTTTTCTTGTGGTCATCCACCTCCTCAGGTTCTTAAGATCTTTACACAATGGTCTCTGAGCCCTGGTTTGATATAGGTGTTGTATTCAGTCTGTCGTCTCTTACTCTTTGCGCCGGCCAGTTGTGGGTCTCTGTGGTAATCACCATTTGCTGAGTTCCTTGTTTTATATTTTAAGTGAAAATATGGCAGCGTGGCGCTCAGGGGCGGGTGACTGGAATTGGAAGGAGGAGAAATGCAGTTGGGTGGAGGCGGGGACACAGAGGTGTGCCTGGGGGCAGGGGGCGGGGACCTGGAGGCTATAGGCTCCCCTAGGACTCAGCCCGGACAGTCGCGCGGCCCCTCCGCAGACAGTCTGTGACTGTAGGTCCGCGTGTCCTCCCGCTGCGATCCTCCTCCCGCACCTGCAGCGCCTGTAGCTCCTACAGCCCGCACCTGCGCTGCACCTGCAAACACCTGCGCCCGCACCTGTGCTCGGCCCCAGCATGGCGGACCAAGAGCCGTTCGACACGAATATCAACACCCTGACCCGTTTCGTCATGGAGGAGGGCAGGAAGGCTCGTGGCACGGGCAAGATGACCCAGCTGCTGAACTCGCTCTGCACCGCGGTCGAAGCCATCTCCTCTGCTGTGCAGCAAGGCCGGCATCGCTCAGCTGTGAGTTAGGTCTTGGGCCACCGACTGCGTCCGTCCTGTCTGTCTGAGAGCCTGGGGATCTGCCAGGTGGCCGGGATATTTGTCTCTCTGGGCCTTTTGCTGGTAGTTGGTGATGTAAGATGACCCAGCTGCTGAACTCGCTCTGCACCGCGGTCGAAGCCATCTCCTCTGCTGTGCAGCAAGGCCGGCATCGCTCAGCTGTGAGTTAGGTCTTGGGCCACCGACTGCGTCCGTCCTGTCTGTCTGAGAGCCTGGGGATCTGCCAGGTGGCCGGGATATTTGTCTCTCTGGGCCTTTTGCTGGTAGTTGGTGATGTGCCCATCTGACACCTGAGGTCCTTGTCTTTTCAGAAGCTCTCTCCGCTGCACACAGGCCCTGCTACCCTTTTCTCTGGAGGGTAGAGGTGCCCATTTGGAGGCATGTCTCACAGGTGCACACCTGCCCTGGGCCGCCCCTGGCCCTAAGAACTCTGGTTGCAGCTCCTCCCAGCAATCTGGTGAAAGTGGGTGACTTACCATTAAGCGACGTCCACCTTGGCCTCATACAGGAAAATGCTAGCACAGGCACCTTCCTCTCCATTTCTTTTTGACCCCTTCATTCCCTTTGGAATGGGGGTCCCAAGTTCAGTTTCTGATCTGATATCTCTTTGACCCACACAAGCCTTGTTAGCAATATCCTACCACCCCCTCAGTCTGGAAGTGTCAATGCCCAGAGAAATAGCAGCTGTCCACACAGAACCCTAGGGGTTCCCTCCTTCTGGGGACAATTTCAGAGAAACCTTAGGAACATCAAAACCTCTCCCCATTTGCATTAATGGGGTATGTGCAGATCTCGCCCACTTAGTAAAATGTTCAGAGCATAGAGGTAGAATGCTTTGATGGAGCCAAGAAATACATCTCCATCCTCTGCACAGGAATCATTTGGGAATTTTGTTAAAATGCAGACTCTGCTTCAGTGGGGCTGGGGTGGAGTCTGAGATTCTGCCTTTCCTGGAAGTTCTCTTATGGTGGGTGATGTTTATGCTCTGGTCTTCAGACTGAGGTGAAGGGATATAGGATCTCAGGGATACCATGTGATGCTTTTTAGAAATCACACAACAGTACCTGGGAGACAGAGGCAGGCGGATCTCTGTGAGTTCAAGTCCAGCCTGGTCTATATAGTAAGTTTCAGGCCACCTGGGGAGACCCTGTTTCAAAAAGAACCCCCCCAATAAGAAAAAAAGAAAAGAGGAAGCAAGAAGAGCACCAGCATCCTCTCTGCTTTCTGACTGAAGATCTGGTGTTTATAGTCACTTCCTGCTCCTAATGCACTCCTGTCATGATGGACTGTATCATTTCCTAAGCCAGAAAAGACACCTCAGATTATCTGTATGTTTTCCTAGTATTTCCCAAACCTGTAAATAATGCACAACAGATATGTGAAGTTTGTAGCGGGCTTGAAATGCTTTGCTACATTTGAAGGGGGGGATCTTTTTTTTTTTTTTTTGAGACAGGGTCTCACTGTATAGCTCTGACTTGCCTGGAACTTGCATTATAGAGCAGGCTGGCCTTGAACTCTTAGAGATCCACCTGCCTCTACCTCTGAAGTGTTGGGGTTATAAAGGCATACACCACCACATCTGGTACATTTCTACATTTTTTAAAAAACCACCCCAACAATGTGGCCTGCTTCTTTTTTTCTGGTAAGTTCTGGTTCCACAGTATGGTTTGGTTGAGATCATTCTTCAGACAGAAGCACATGCCCACATTTATTCTCAGATTCTCAGAGCCAGGATAAGCCTTGCTAGGAGGAAGCTAAGAATAGGTATGTCAAAGGTGATCGCTTCACTGTTTTGTCCTTGGCCCTATGGATTCTTCACTTCAGTCAGCACACTCAGGAACAGTCTGACTTCAGATTTAGTTTAGAGCTCACAGCTTTGACTCTCTGAGGGGCAGGGAGCTTTGTAAGAGACAGAACTTGACATTTCTCACATGATTTTAAAAACACATCAGTACTTGTCACAACTCCAGAGAGACTCAGAAACTCACCATCTGCCTTGAGGTATCCTACCTTTTAAATAACCTCAGATGGTGGGATGGGGGCAAATGGTGCAAGTTTTGGCCATAGAAGAGGTGTGTATTAATAGACTAGATGGTTGTGACACTAGTTTTAAAAATGCTGTTGTTAGACTCCTTAGTTGCACTCATTGACAAAAACACCAAACCTTTCAAAAGATGCAAAGGACAAAGTGAAACTATGCCAGTTCCCTGGGGTAGCCATTAATAGTTTCTTGCTATTTTCTCACATACTTCCTTATGCTCATATAAACTTCTGAATGAACACATATCTATCTACATAGTCCTGTGTAGCTAGAAAACAAAATGGGGTCATACCTAACATACTTTTCTACTGTTAGCTCTATATTCCCATTATATAATGAATAACTTTTGTAGGGGGGTGTAATACACATCTACCACCTTCTTTTAAACTGTGGCACAGATGTAGCATGAGTTATGGAATTCTTCTACAATTTGAGAATATTTAAGTTTTTGCTACTCTGGTTACTACAGTGTTGCAGCAGGTGTTGATGCCTGATTGCATAGGTAGCTGATGGGCAGGACCGGAAGCTGGACTCTTAAGGACTCTTATGGGAAAGGAGGAGTGTGACTGTTTCCAGTATGACGTGTAGTCAGGCCACTATCAGTCAGATACAGTCTCAAGCCAGGCTCCCAAACTATGCTCCTTATGGGCTTTGATATGTTGTGTGAAGAGTCAGGGTGACTGCGAAGAGCTTATTAGTACTACAGATCGGCCCTAGAAGACCATGTAGCCAGAAGGATGAGATGGTTGCAGATCGGCATGAACCTCACCAGGATTGGTTTCTGGAGCTCAGCATACCATCTAAAGGGAATTATCAGGAGTGTGAGCATGGAGCATGCTTCCCCTCTGTCTCAGTCAATATATAGTTGCCACTGTAGTCATTTCCATTGTTCCTATGAAATAATATAGTATTTGTCCACATTTTGAGGCAAGGACTCATGTAGCCCAGGCTAACCTGAAATTTTCTATGAACTCTTGCTTCTCCTGCCTTTACCTCCCATGTGCTGGTGTTATAGGTGTGTACCACCATGCTGTTGTATTTTAATGTGCCTTAAGAATTACACCCCAAGAAACCATTGCCTTTCAACAAATGTGTCCTTGGAACCTCATCTATTATCTTTTGCTCCCTTCCACCCACTCAGCAGAGGGAGCATGCAGGGGGAGCCAGCCTGCTGTTCTTCATGTGAACAAGTAAGTCCAGCTGGAGAACTCATGGTAAATGTCAAAGTCAAATGTAATCCTACTTCTTTGCTGTTCTTCCTTTGGCAAAAAGTGGTCTTCCTGTAGCTTAATCTTCATGGTTTTGTGGAGTTGATGAAGGGTTGACTTTCTCTGTATCGTACACACTCCAAGTCACTACCTGAAAAGTTTACTGAGTTTATTTCATTTAACAGACTGGTAGCAAACACCCACTGTATCTAAAGTACTAGAAGAAACCAAGAGATGGAACAATAGAGAGTTTACCCTGTAGGAAAATACAAGACAGTGTAGAATTAGTTATAAAGCATTACAGAGGTTATAAAAGGTGCTTTCATGGAGGCGTCAGGATTATGATTCAGGTGCAAAGGATTGTGTGGCATCAGGTGGGCATTTGTAATGGGCAGGGTAAAGTGGTCACAGGGCCTGACGGCTGTGGAGTGACTCAGGCTAAGAGGTCACGGGACAAAGGATCCTGAGGTAGAAACGTTTCAGGTAAAGTTTCTCATTTAGTTTGACCAAAATATGGGGTACATGAGCTGGGCCACTTGTGGATGTGACATTGGGGGTACATCCAATGGCAAAGGTGACCATTTTGCATTTTTTGAAAGGTTATGTAGAAGGGAGAATAAAGGTTTTTGGAGTTGAGGCATGGTATGAGTGATCTGGGGAAGGGAAGGCTAAAAGCATGGATCGGAGTCTTGACAAACTGGTAGAAAAATGAAAGTGTGGCCAGAGCCACAGCAGTGCAGTAGGCAGGGGAAGGACCTGGCAGAGTGAAGTCCCAGTGTGGACTGGATTTGAAGGGTCACAAGGGACATTCTCAAAGAGCCGTTCTAGCAGATGAGAGCGGAACCATGCCCTCAAGAAACCAAGCAAGGCAAAAGCAAAAGCAGAATTCCCCAGGAGCTGGCTTTCAGAGGCGGGGAAGAGCTAAAAAGATGATTCTGGAGTTTTGGAAGCATGGGCTTGAGCTACTATAGAGGTATGCAGTTGGACATGTCCAGCATGTAGTCTGATGGCCAATCTGTTTTCAAGCCACAGGATTTTGGCACATTGTCCCGAGGAAAGAGGAAGAGGAGAAGAAAATCAGGACTGGATATAGCAGACCAGAGACACACAGCACTGAAGAGCCCATTCCGGAGAGAGGAACTAGGTTTAAATTTCTGGCTCTGCTATGTAATTTCTATGATGAGATTGGTGGATGGTAAAACATCTGTGAGCCTCAGTTTCCCCACTTGTAAGATAGGGACAGCTGCTTTTTCAAATTTAGAGAGTTGTGTGAGGGTCAAGGAACTTTTTAATCATGTACTGATGTCATCATTACTTTCCTGAAGAATTTTGAATTTTTTTGTAAAGTGCTTTCTTTGTGTTTTGCTTTCATTCTATTTAGAAGCAACCCACATGCATATCAGGCTATAACATCCCCTGTTAACATAATCCTGCACCCCAGAGTGGTTATATGTGCATGTGTATGTATATGCATGTGTGTGTGGGGGGGTGCACATGTACATGTTGTATGCATACATGTGGAAGCCAAGGCTGTTGTTACTCAAGAGCTACCCACCTTGTTTTTTGAGATAAGTTCTCTCATTGGCCTGAAGCTTCCTGATTACTGGCTGGCCAGTGAGCTCTTGGGATCTGCTTATCTCCATCTTCCCAGCATTGGGGTTACAGTTGTGTGCTATCACACTTGGCTTTTAAAAAGCTGGGTTCTGAGGATT